GACAAGTGATTGGTATTGAAACAATACCAATCGATACCTGCTTCGATACGTAGAAGAAATTCGCGCACCCGCCTAAAATAGCTGTAACCTTTCATTTAAACCTCAAATGCTTATTTTACCTGAAAACTTCCACAGGTTTGTTAATTATATTATTCGTGCAATCCTGAAAGAAACACTAGAATGCTTGACGAACTATTTAAGTACCAAATTTGTCGTGTTAACATAAAAGTCTTAAACGTCCCTACCCGCCCCACCCAAAAAACACAACAAGGAAAAAGTGCAATACCGAGTGAAATCAGGTCCTGAAGGCATTATCTATTTGACATACAAAAGCATGCCAATATACTTGGATGTTTATGAGGTAGCATACGAGCAGTATTAGATTCTGAAACAATGCTCATAATGAGCGTGAGGTAACTCTTGCGGACAAAACGATGCGAGGTGCATATGGCATTGGAGGTACTCAAATACGATAGAACTGTGACCAGCTTAAATCCCCCCCACCCCACAAGCAGCTCGAAGCAAAGATACAGTGTATTACGCCGTGAAGGGCGGTCTTGGAGTTGTTACACATTATCTAATATTATAAAAATTAATGATAATTAACTCCGATATTCGAGGTTTACTGGCAAATTGTCAATTTTCATTATTAATAGAATAAATTACGTATTTCTAAATTTAACGGAATTTCATCTTTATATTTTCGTAAATGAGCTTCAGCTACTCCTGGAAAACTAACACTTTTGCCAGCGAGAAAAAAGTTTTTCCATCATCAGTCGAGATGTAGACTAAGGAATAATGAAAGAAACCTAAAATTATACGGCACACCGTCGGGCGGACATCATTAGTTTAAACCTTACGGCTAATCTAAGAGAGCTGAGATTAGCTTACATTCTATAGAATTCAAAAATAGCATCATCAAAGACATCGGATTGTGCACTTATTAAATCATTAAATTAGTGACCACATCGTGCATTTGACGAATGTTCAGTTTCAGGTTTATAAATTCCACAAAGGAGAATGATTTTG